ATAAAAATACCAAATCAAAATGTTCTAACACTTTGTAGATGTTTATAAGTTTTTGCCTAACAAAATAATGCTGCACAATCTCTATGTAAATTGTTAGACATTCAATTGAAAAAAAAAATACAAAATCCTAGAGAGATTGAGAGAGAAATGATAACATTAAAAATGAACTCAAGAAAATCTTTCTTGAAGAACAGTTACGTTTTCCTGTAATGTTTCTTTAAAACTGATGTAATATGAAAAGTCCTTTCCTGATGATTTTATTTTTATTTTCTTTTCAAATTATTGTGGCATTTAAAACTTTTATATTTAAAATGGAATTAAGTTAAACATAAATAATGCTCCCAAAAGCTCTTTCCCAAATAACTCCGAAAGCACCAGACGACCAGCAAACTAGTCCTAATTGGCGATTAGGAGAGGCTGATACCGTGGCCATCCTTGATTTTGCATGTTCAGGGTAATTGCAACTATAATAATTATATTAAAATATTTAATAAATTAATTGCTAAATTTATTTAACATATTATATTTTAGAATGTGCTCAAACAACAAAGTGAATCAAATTTTTTCAAACTTAAAACGAGAATCCTTAAGTACAGTTTAATTACGTAAGTATTCATAATTAAAACATAAATAACTAATAAAATCATATTTAACAAATTCAAAAAATGAAACATTATGATTGGATTAAACTTGCTAACCTAAAAAATGCATAGTTAAGAAATAATGATCAACTTTATCAGTAAGTTCAATATACTTGACTAAGATCTTAATATCATAATTAACCTGTTAAATAAATTAAATGAAAGAATAGAAAATTTAAGAGCATTTAAATTTGTAAAATATTTAGCGATCAAGATCATGAACATAAATAATTTTAAGAATATAATTAAGAAAAAATTAATATATTAATAAATTGTGAATCAACTATAGTAAATAAAAAGTTAAGACATAAATTCCCAAAATTTATGGAATGATTTTTGCAATGTCTAAAATGGTTGCATTCATCATTCTTGAGGCCTTTAGTAAATCTAACTTAATCAGTCTACAATGAATTATAAACATTCACTGTAAGCTAATGTCTTTGAAATGTTCACTTGAGTCTTCATGAATGCTTGCTTGAGTCCATCTCTAAGTGTCCAACCTTCAAGCTAACCTTGTGAGCACAATCTTCATAAATTCAACAAAAACAACAACAACTTCAAGCCTTTATTCCACTGCATGGAGTTGGCTACATGAATCTTTTTTCTCCATTGATGTTGATTATATTAGATTAGCTGACAACAGGAAGTCAACCTTAGGACATTGCATCTTTATTTTAGAAATTAATTATCTTAGAAAAGCAAGAAATAAACTATTGTGGCTAGATCATAAACGATTAATGCAAATGAGAACACTTGACAAATCATAAATGGCATTACACAAGATTTTCTATCATCAAATCATTAATGATTCACATGAGTCCCCCAAGCTCATGGGATTAATAATCTCTGTCCTTTGGGATTGTTTTTATGAATCCTTATTTGTCATTTATTTTTATTGAGTGATATAAGAGATGCTGCTTCTATTTTGTGTAAATTTATTTGCATTGTTTTTTTATATGTTAATTTGGCCTACCTCTCTTAGGTGATTTAGAGATGCTACATCTATTTTGGAAAGACTTAAAAATATTAATAAAAAAGATACATCTTGAAGAAATTTTTTTTTATTAGAGGAGTTTTAAATGGACATTGGTAGAAGATTTTAAAAGCATTCATGGTAGCTATGAATTTAGAATGACCTTGGCAGGATCATATTAGATTTTGTACTAGCTTATGATTTTGTAATTGCTAATGTCTTATTTAGGAAAAGAGATGATTGTTTCATCACCTATAAAAAATGGATATAGTAAAACTCTGATTGATTATTTTCTTATAAGAAAAATAGATCGTTTAAATTGCAAAGATTATAAAGTTATTTTGAATGAAAGTTTATATACCGAGCTTTGCTTATTAATTTTGTATTTTAAGATGAATGAGTGAAATATGAAATGAAATAAAATGTTGTCCTACAATTAGATGAGGACATTTAAAAATCTCTAACAAAAATATTTTTGAGAGTACGATTCAAGATTTTAAGATTTTGATTGTGCACGAGGAAGCTAATATTATATGGAAAAAAATAGCTAGTGATATTAAGAAATATAGTAATGTGCTTGAAGTATCAAAATGAGAAGCTCATAATAGTAAAAATAGTTAATGATTAAATTAAAATGTGCAAGAAATGATAAAAAATAAAAAGCTTTATGATTTAGATATAAAATTTCAGAAAATTGGAAAAGATATAGAGGGGCCCGTAAAGAGTCTAAGAAAGCAATTTGTGTTACAAAGAATTTAATTTTTAATCATTTATATAATATGCTAGATACTAAGGGGGGCAAAAGATGAATGTAAAAGTTAGCCAAACAACTAGATAGGAGAAGTAAGGATTTAGTTCATGAAGGATGAAGATAAAAAGTGATTTTATTTGAAGAGGATATTCAACATCGGTGAGTGAGATATTTCAATAATCTTTTCATTGATAATTGTTAGAATACGATTAATTTTAGTGACCTTAGCACACTCAATGAAATTAGAGATTTTTTATTTTTATCATTTTATTAATAAAATCAAAGTTAGAGATGCTTTAAAGAAATAAAGTGTGAAAAAATTATTGGGCCTGATGTTAATTTAATAGAGGTGTAGAAATGTTTAGGAGATGAGGGAATTCCTTGGCTTACTAAATTTTTTCATACTATTCTGAAGACTAAAATGATGCTAGATGTGTGGAGTGTATTGGTTCCTATTTTATGTATAAAAGTGATGCACAAGACTGTGTGAATTATAAAGGAATTAAGTTACGATGTGATACTAATGTTTATCAAAATCAATTTGGATTCATGCCGGGTAGGTTTACTATGGAAGCCATATATTTGTTGAGAGGTTTGGTTGAGAAGTATAGAGAGAATAAGGATGATCTAGATACGATATTTATTGATTAAGAGAAATCATATGATAAACTTCCAAGAGAAGTGCTTTGGAGAGTTCTATAAAATAAATGAGTTAAATATGCTTATATTCAAGTCATTAAGGACATGTATGCAGGAGCTGTTACTTGTTCAAACACAAGGTGGTTTGATCAAGTATTTCCTTATTTCAGTTGGATTACATCAAGGATTTACTTTAAGCCCATATATTTTTGCTTTTGTTATGGATGTTCTTGCTAGACATTTTCAAGAGGATGTACCTTGGTGTATGTTTTTTATTTTTATTTTTTGTGATGATATTCTTCTTATTGATAAGACTGGAGAGGGAGTTGAATGAAATCTTAAATTATAGAGGTCAATTTTAAAGTCTAAAGGTTTTCGTTTGAGTATATCTAAAATTGAATGCATGGAGTGTAATTTTTGTAGTTTTGAAAACCAGATCAGACTGGCTGGTTCAACCATGAATCAGTTATATGTTTGATTCTATCTGCCTTAAAAATCGGCCCAACATCAAATTGATGTGGACTAGTTTGAATTGTTGGTTCAATTGGCCAACCTTTGAACCGGTCCCTATTTTTAAGAACCGGTCAGTTCAATTTTTATTTGTAATTTTAAATATAAATTATTAAAAATTAATTTTATCTATTTTATAATTATAAATAATCTAACATGAGTGATTTATAGATGTAACATTGTAATGTGAATTTAATATGTAATTTATAGTTGTAAAATTTATCTAAATATATAATATAAATTAATAATAATTTCTATTAAATTTAAGATAAATTAGTAATAATTTATATTATACTTATAAGTTTATATATAAACTAAATTTATTTTTAGCCACAAATTTATATCATTATTATATTATTTATTTTTATTAAAATAACTATAATATTTATTACATCATTCGGTTCAACTCCGGTCGAACTGTTGAATCTTGAACCTCTCATTTTTTTTGGTTCGACATCCGGTCCGATTTTCACAACCTTGATAATTTTTGTAGTAATATATCTAGTGGGGGATTGTGAATCAAGTCATTTAAAAGTGTATGCATTTTAGATATCCTAGGTCTATTGTTCAAAGTGATGGCGAAATAGATGAGAATATTATTAATTTATTAGTAGAATTCAAGTTGGATGTTTGAAGTGGAGGAATACATCGGGCTGGTTGTGTGATAGAAAAGTGCCCCTTAAACATAAGAGAAAATTCTATAAGATGGTGATAAGACCTGCAATGCTTTATGACGCAGAATATTGGCCATTAATAGAGTAGCATAAAATTATGTTAAATGTTGTAGAGATGAGGATGCTTAGGTGAATGAGTGGTTTTAATCTTAGAGGCAGAATCATAACGAGTATATACGAGAAAAGGTTGGAGTAACTTTAGTGGCAAATAAGATTAGGGAGAGTCAACATATATGATGATGATGACTTGGTTAGGATAGTAAATGTATTAGATTTGACCTATGTTAAGAAAGGTAGAGGTAGACTTAAGAAAGTATTAGAAATAAATTATTTTTATTAGATTCAAATGGGAATTTGACTTTTAATAGAACACAATGGAGAAAAAAATATTCATGTACTGACCCCACGTAGTGGGATGAAGGCTTGATGTTGTTGTTGACTTCGAGGCGTGCCTCGAATTGAGACGCAAAAGGAGTGCTCAAGGCTCAAGCCTTGTTGGCGCTAGTGAGGCACATGCCTTTTCTAAATGTGGTGTACACCTTGATGCATTTTGAGGCGGCGCCTCATCCAAGTCAAAATTTATAATATTTTTGTAAGTATATACTATTATTATTAATAATATATATTTTATTCTATTATATAAAGAGAAGGAACTTATCTACTATAGGATGAATTGTTTATGTTATGTTTACAAAGGCAAATAATTAGTGATGAAAATTTGGCCAGTTAATTCCTCGTGTCATGTGTTACCTTCAGTCCTTAGTTGTTTATTTATTTTTCTATGCAAATTTACAATCTTTATGCTGGTGCAGGTGCTTTTCTTACATGAGTTTTGCTCTCTAGCTAAGAGTCTACAGATGGTACAACAGTTGCGGTTTCTGCGGTATGTGATTCAAATACCTGCCTATTATTTTAATTATCTTAATTTTAAATAACTAAACTAACTTCATTAATTGATCAATACGGAATAGCCTGTTATAAAAATTAGTTGTTTGTTTATTGCTGATATGAAAGATTGATGAAGAGTTTCTCATGTCTTTTATAACAGAAAGGAAGAATACATTATCTTTTTTTTTTCACATCCTGATGAATCTTATTTGTGGGACATGATCAACCATCTTGTCAAAAATACTTTTTGGTTTGGGCATTCAACAATCTTGTAGAAGTAGCTGCTATATTATTGCTTGATGACAATAAACTGTCAAATATAAATAGCTCAATAAATTTGCTGTTAAATTGCTGTTGGAATAATTTGACATTGAGGCATCTCTTGACTTTATTTTATCAATTAGTCTTGTTTATTTATGGAGGTATTCCATTAGGAGGAGCGTCTTTGTTGTTGTGGTTTTCTATTTTAAAAACTTGACTTGATCCATTAGACAAAGCAGATTCAGTTATCTTGATACAATAAACCTGTTAAAGCATGTTTGAAGCATGGGCGTGTAAGTGTGATTTCCTGTATTTTTGCACTATTCCCTTTTCATACTTGTAAGCTTGCTTTTGTGCATGTTTGTCAGTGCACTTGCAAGTAGGTCCACATTCTTCATGCTAGTAGCATTGGAAATATGTAGTTTGGGAGGTGCAAACATGTTCAAATTTTGTGTGTAACTGCATGCAGGCATGCTGTGATAAATTGGTCCAACTATTGCCATTATTTTTTTGCGGCCTTAACTTTTTTGACCTAGGATTGAGAATGAACCTTATTTGTGGAAAATTAAGTTTTAAAGCTTGGGCTTGATGCCTAAAATGGTTCTGTTGGGCTGCTTGATCTATGGATGATGTATATCAAACTTCACCCATGCGTTTTAAAGGATTCTTAATCACAATCCTTGGTGAATGGCTATGATTATATCAGATTTATTTAAAGTACTGGTATGCTTGATCTTGGTTTAGTAACGAGCTTTCTGAAGTTGGCATGTCTCTACTCGGTTAAATGTGAGCTAATGTTTGATAAAAGCTGTGGTTCAACTTATTTTTGTCACTGTAAGTGAGCTATTATGAGAGTTTTAACAAACTCCTTAAACTTTTATGCATGATGGCCCAAGATCATTATCAGGGTGCTGTGACATGCTGACATACTTGTGTTCCACATTTTTATCTGGTGGTGAGAAGAGCGGCAATGGAGAGACTGCGGGTGGTGTTTAACTTGTAAAATTGTATGTGATGCAAGCAAAAATTTGGGAAAAGCCCCAAATTTTTGCGAGCAAAATACAAAAAATACTCAAAAAGACACAAATACGACAAACCACAACTTTATATAATAAAAAAGACTTACAAACTTTAATATTATAAAAGACTTACAAAAACAACGCTTACAGACTTTGACGACATAAACTCCTAAAGTTGCATTTCCTTGTTTGGGAAGAAGGATACAGATGGGGTGGTCACTTGCGGATAGAAGAAAGAGGCAAGAAGTCCAAGACGAAGATAGGATAAGCTCGCAAGCCTTCCCGAGAAGTAGAAGAAGAAGAAGTGGAACAAGCTCGCAAGCTTTTCCAAAAACCCTCATGTTTTGCTGTCCAAAAATTACATTTTATCATCCCTTTTCAAGCCTCAAATCAGCCCCTATATATCGGAAGAAAGGGGGAAACCAAACAGCCACCCACCTCTATTCAAACCAATGAAAAAGAGGAAAATAGAAGGCCAAGAGACATTCCAAACAACAGCTGAAAAGGCATCCAAATATTAGCCAAATTCATCCCCATCCAGGATATAAGGGACGGAACCAGCAGAAACTGAGGAGGCCAGGGAAAAGGGGACAGAACCCCATCTTCATTTCACGGGAACAACAACAGCCAGGGGAAAATCGAGAGGACAAAAGGGAAGTCACGGGAACCGCAACAGCCAAGAGAAAACCGAGAAGATAAAGGGGAAGGGAAGAGACACAAGTCCACTCCACAATAATGAGAATACCTTTTTGATTTTATGAGTTTACTCCACCAATTAATGAACTAAACTTCATCTCAAGCATTAATGAGCTAACACCAAGTAGAACTCAAATTTTAAGCTCAACACCAAGCAGCCAAGGCCCAACCCGAGAGCAGCAAACAGCTCCAAACCGAGAACAGCAAGAAGCCCAAAGACAAGAAGAAATCCAAGTTGATCTGACCCCCCTGCCTACATCAGTATGGTATTAGTGTAATACGAGGGTGTCTAAATTGACATTGGAAGGTCAGGATGAGAAAAATGAGTTTTTGAGACCTGATACTTACAATTACTTGCACATTAAGATTCAGGTCAAGATTTTTGTCTGATGATAGTGTCATCTTCGATTGACTTGAGACAAGGACTCAACTTGTTGTGTTCAGCTTTTATTCCGAAGTTTTCTAGCTTGAACTTTTGAACAAGCTATGTTAATATAATTGTCATCAAATAGTCTATTGATAAGAATGAACCTGGTCATTATAATTTATTTCCTTGCAAACACCAAACAAGCCTATCAATTATCTTTACGAGTTCAGGTAGTATTGAAGTTTTGGTCGTTCATGAATTATTTAAAAAAGGAATTGTTTTTATCAGTCGTCAAACTTGACAAATTGAGCTTATTAAGCATGCCTGAAAATTTTCATGTCATATATAATTTCCACTAAAATGGCACATTTGAGATTGCAATTTTAATTCATGCTTTTTAAGTTATTTATGCTTAGCATAAATTAATTAGAGAACTTGTTTAATATAGATAAGGGCTAATATTTTCTTGTAGTCCTGGACTAATTCCATCTACTCTGTTTTGTTCCACAATTTCTATTTGCGTTCTAAGCTTGATATTATATTCAATAATAATTAACTATTTGATATTATGCATTCTTGTTTCCGGTGCCCATGTAGGTCAGCTGTCTAACACACGCATGCTAGTTTTGTAGAAGTTTCCGCAATTTCAATTACTGTAAGAGACTGACTCGGATACCGCTAAACTGGTCTCTAATTCATGATTTTCATGCTTGATTTACCCTATTTTTTCATGTCAGGCTATTGGAGCCTTATTAGATTAGTTACCAATTGTCTGAAACATAGTTGAGCTATCTCAAGGTATTTCAGCGCGTAAACCATGATGTTTCATAAAATGGGTACTTGTAGCACATTTTTCTGTGATGTTTGCATATTTCACTCTTGGTGTGAGAATCATTTCAATTCTTAAATTGTAATGAAGTCATCCCTGTGAGAATTCAATTGCTTCTGACCCTAGTGATTTTTTTTTTCCGGAAGCTAATGACATCTGGTGCATTGTGGAAAGATTCTTCTTTCTTGTGTGATAATCTTCTCCACTTCAATGCATAGAATCCGCTATTCTCTTTCTTTCTATGAAACCATGCGCAGCTCCCTATTTAGATTGCCATAAACATTACTTAAGATGTCAACATTTTTGCTCAAACAAATCTTTCTTTGCATTTTTGTTTCCATCTAATGCAGGATTAGTTGATCTAACTTATATATTATCTATCATGTGATTATGCGCACTATCTGGAAAAACTAGTGGTCAAGTCATATTGTTTTTGCTGCCTTTTGAGTATTTATGCTTTCACTTACATCCTCATATCGTTGTTTTAAAATATTATTTGAACATTGTGGGTTGTCTTTAACTTTCTCCAAAAGTACGTGCTTTATGCAGATTTGATCTTTGAAGCATGTTTAACTCTACCAAAGGCCTGCGTAGCTCTATGCACTGGTCTTTGATTCAATAAATGTGATTCCCTTTGCTTATTTAGTCTTAATAACATTATTTATACCTTAAATAGAAAGAAAACTATCTGCACTGTAGTAAATAGCCAAATTGAACCATGGAAGATGTCCAAACCTTTCTAAATTTGGTTCACTGTTCACTTCCTCCTTTATAGTTTCAGCTAACAGTAATTTAGTTGTCCTCCTAGATGAACAGAACTCAAGTTAGTTGAATTTTGCCAACCTCTGATGGAACACACGCCTGCACAATGTCCAAATAACCTTGTTAAATAGGTTATATGTCAAAATCTTGAAAGTTTTTTAAAATACTAATTTATAGTATTAGAAGTATTAACAATTTATGCAGTTATTTTTTGTTTCAAATGTATTTGTTGAACTGAACTTCAAGCAGTGTAAATATTACAATTTCAAATGTGGACAAACACCCATACTCTCATGATTAAAAAAAATAATAATGCTATTGTGGGGCTTCTTCATCTCTTTTTGCTGACCCTTTCTCCTATCCTAGAAGCCTTGCTCTAATTAATTTTCATCATTATTTTTATCAGTAGATGTATGCTTGAAGCTCCTAGAAGCATCTTCAATGCAAATCATTACTTGTCCTCTCATTATTACTTTCCAGTATAGTTTGTGGTTGCTTTATCAATCTCCATCCATCTTTTTTTCTTTGAGTAGGATTAGGGGTGTAACTGAGCCGAACCGGTTCGTGAGCTAGATCGAACTCGACTCGATAACGAGCTCGCGAGCCGAGCTTGTCGAGCCATGAGCTCGAGCTCGTCTATTAAACGAGCTCAAGTTTGAGCTTGACGTGGCTCAACTCGGGAGCTCACAAGCCGGTTCGAATTATTGTTTGATTTTTTTTAATTATTAATAATTTTATTACATTTAAAAGTTTTAAAAAAAGTACAACTACTACATAGCTAATAAAAAACCCTCCAAATATTATAGCTAATAAATACTGCAACTTTAATTATTACTAAAGCAATGACATGTTAAAAGAAATTATATAAAATATGAAGGAAACGTTCCCAAAATTGCAGGCATTAATTATCGAGAGAGAAAAGCTGCATGTTTTTTCTCTACATGTAAAAAACCCAATAGAAAGCTCTTCCCGTCGATGAAAAAGTTCAAGTCTTCTTCTTCTTCTCTGGTTCTAGCTGTGATTGCTTCGGGAGTTGGCCCATTTTTTTACGGCAGGCTCGT